TATTTCTCGAGAATTGATATTCAAACACTTTGATTTTTTTACTTTTAACTTTTTATAATTTTTTTTTTTTGATATTTTAATAAAAACGATATATCTCAAACTTAGGTTGTTTATTTGATCTCCCATTTTATATAAATTGAGAATGGATGCAACGTAACTGCGAAATTGTCCAATGATAACCCTGAACTTCGTCTTGGTCAATAAAGGAATAATTTTCTGAAAAGTCACAAATGATTAGATAGTAATTATTTTCTAAACTATTTTTAAGGTTATTGATGAATGTTGTTCACAAATAAATGAATGGCGTATGAGAATATTCATTTTATCGAAAAAATAATTAATAAATTAGTCTAAAGATTGAGTAGTCTCCAGAGTTGTTCTATCTACCGAAACCTGTTTAAACGTAACAAGATATCCTATTTTATAAATAATTTTGGGATGCGTTCTTTTCAGAGTGCCGAGCCACACTCGTTGCAGTCACCAAAATAACAGGTGGGTAACGGGAGATTGTAAATCATTCTACCTATACATCTCTATAAGTTGCTATATAATCCTCACCATTTTTAGTCAATGTTGCTAATTCACAGCTTAAAATCATAAGTTTAATCTTTTGGTGTATGGTACAAATGCTTATATGTGTTCCGCTAGCCCCTGCTAATATACAATTTTTTGGTCTTAAGCTAGCAAATTTCGAAAATCCAATTGTTATGATTGAATTACTCTCCTTAAAATGATTATATATTTATTTTAAATTATTAAGAACTAACCTTTTTGAGCGTTCACTTATTCCCCCCTTTCAATGATAGATATGCAATCTTTTTTTTCCTGGTAATACCGTACTAACTTCATCACTGCAAAAAAATTTTTTTAACAATTTCAACTATTTTTTGATTGAGATATTTTGCAGGCTTTCGATTTGGAGTTGAATGAATCCCCTTCTAAAATGATTTTGGAATTATATACCATATGATATCTAGTGTTGAATTCCGTTTTTATTATATTTGCGCTCCAATTAGGAGGCAGAATGATCAGCAATTGTTAGGATATTGTAATTTCATATTATTGAGTATATCATTATTGTCTTTTGTATCCGATTCTGGAAACTATTATATCTGAAAGTATCTTTTGATATTTTCACTAGCTTTTTATTTGGATAATTTTTTCTTAATAGGAGATATTCCAATTTCGTTTAAAGTTATATTGATTGTATCTATTGATGTGGATGCTGTGGTAATATTATTTACATATTCGCTATCAGAATTAATATTTTCAATATTTTTTTGTGATAAACGTTTACGACATTTATTAGAAATATAGTGTTCCGCCTCAATGTTTGGAAATTGTGTCATCCACGTCATGCCTTTACGCGCGTTCTTTTTATAATTAAAGTATTTAGATTCTTTAAAAGGATTTGCGCATTTATATTTATACATTATAAATAATTTTAAGAGAAAAAAACTAATATCGAAATATTTGTAAAATAAAAATTAATTAATATCAGGGCAGATGCATGGAGACTTGCTTTTATCTTTCAACAATTAATTATTATATTTTCTTGTAGGATATATCGTAACGTAACTATATTGTTACGAAATTTAAACATCTATTATAAAAACAACTTATTTTTATAAGTCATCAATATAGTAATAATAAATAGTAAGCTTATCAAACGATCTAAATAATATTTTTTCATGATATTAATGCTGGAAAATTTTATTATTTATGTTTAAAAATGGGAAAAAGTTATAGAAAATAATAATCTTAGCAAAATACGTAATTTTATAAAGGAACGCCATCTATTTTTGAAAAAATATTTATTTTTTAAATCGCAATAGCTAAAAAACCCATGGCTGTCCTAAGTTTAAATTTTTTATGAATAGATATAAGGTTAGAGAATATGAAAATATTAAATTCAAAAATATTTGGAAAGCGAAACACCTGGAGTTTTCATGTTTAAAATTTATAATGTAAATAAAACTGCAACAATATTATTTTAAAAAAATCCTTAATATTTAATAGAAGGCAAATAGAGTTATAAAATGACATATAACTTATATTTTTTAATTTATCATTTTTAAAAATCGTATCTTTCGAAAAAAGTCAATTTTGGCACTTTTGACCATTGATACCTCAGGAACTATGAGTACTAGGAGGCTAAAATTTTGGATTCGATGCTTTCTAATGATATTCTCTAAGTATGCAAAATTTTATAGAAATTAAAAAGGTCGGGTCGAAGAGTTATCCGATTTGGTATGGAATTACCCGATCATATTTCATAAAAACCAGAAAATATGAATTTCTCTAGGGCCGAATCATAATATGAAGATGTTTTTTTTCAAAATTATGACAATTTTTACATAATTTATTACCTATTTCTTGGATCAAAAAATATTATTATATTTTTAAAAAATACGGTTAGCTTTTCTCGCTTGCTCTCTAACTGTTTCATAAAGAATGAGACTTGTTAGCATAGCGCCTTGGGGTAAAATTAAACGTTTAAATTAGTTTAGAGACACTGCTTAATTAATAAATATACCCAAGCTTATAGTTGGATATAAAAGAAAGAAATAATACTCTAATTATAAATTTAATAATCTAAATTTAGTTTTTTAGTTAAATATGTATATAATGTTGCCTGAGTCATATTTATATAAAAAATTTTCAACCCTTGCCCTATTATCCACTACTATAAGATTTATAAAACTCGTTTTATGTGATTTTTTTCGATTTTGGCAAAAATAGCCTCCTCTTTAGCCAATCTTTAGCTAAATTTTCCACCTATACCCAAAATCTAAATGCTTTTAGTGAAATTTATTAATTGAGCATTGTTCGCTCCACGCTAACTCGTATTCTCTGTAAAACACAGTAAAAGAGCGAATGTAGGGAACTGGCTTATATTTTATAACTATTTGCTTGAATGAAACTTATTTTTGAAAATGTATATAAAGAACGAAATTGTTATAATAAAACACTAAAATTGTTGATTTAATAAAGATATGATTTGAAAATTTTGATAATTTTAAAAATAATAAAAAATTATCTAAAATTTAGAATATCTACCACTTATTAATCGGGTCGTTTTGAAAAATCGACCCAAATCGGGCTTTTTAACAACACTCGCTATTGTTATCAGCTTGTTTATTTGTTTTTATCATATATTTAATCAGAGTTTAGAATCTAAACGAAAAAGGTTTATGGCAAGAGTTCTGCATATATAAACCAGGCCTGGCATGAAAAATATTCGCAGTATACCCTTGATGAGTATTAATTTACTATAATCTCCGATTTTGATCTAGCCTGTGAGCGGAGATATGTCCCTTCATTTTTAAAATAATTTAGATATTGACTTTTTTGATTGTATATATATATCTCATATATGGAATAAAGATCACAGAAGACTACAAAGGCGTTAGACATCACATATTATTAGCTTTCAGAATATTTTAAAAAAATAAAGTCAAACCCGAAATAAAATGATGAAATGCATCCATGCAAAAGAAGACAATGTTGAATTTTTTTTAAAAAAAATTGTCAAAATTAAGGTTTTTATATTGCTTAAGACATGCAAAAAATTTATTTGTTAACTCAAACTGTCTTTAAGGTATACAAGAATAGATAGAGTATTTATTAAATTTGATCTTTATTTTTTCTAATATAATTTTTTTAACGGTAGAGGTCTAAAATTAATATTTCTTTTAATTATTTGATTGTAATATTCACTGATATTTATTTATTTCTATGAGGAACCTTTATTTACTTAATTTAAATTTTAGTTCACCTTTTATATTACATTTAACACTAACAAAGTTTCCTTTTTGAAATATTTATTTAAAATTAAACATTATAAAAATTCAATATTGATATAACAAATTACACCAATTGTTTTTTAATGAACCTCATAATTCAAGATGTCTTAATTTCTATAATATCTTGTTTGCTGAATTTAAAACTACACGAAAAATATTGATTTTCTGAAAAAAAATATAAAAACTTTTCTATGTTAATTATAATTCATAAAATAAATATTAACATTATTCTTCGAAATGAAATAATAAAGAAATAATATGCTACTGAGAAATGATACATTATTAAAATTGATGTATATCATCTCTTCACCCTCTACTATCGCACTAATCTGATCTACTTTTTCCAATAATCCCTGGGCTGTGCGATATTGTATATATATCATTATACATTTAACACAAACCACGTGTCCTTTAAAAACGATCTGATCGATCTTCTGATGTGAATCTGTTTCCATATCATCCTCCGCTACGATTGAGCTGTAAGGCATTAATGTTTTAAACCGAGTACGTACTTTCATTCCATATATCATGTAAGCTGGTGTTTTCCCAGTATTTGGATGAATTATGTTCCTGTATGCTAATAAGAATTGGAATATCATAAAGCTTTCACGAGGTTATACCATTTTCCTCTATAGCTTGTTTTTATTGTTTTCACAAATTTCTCGGCTCATCCATTTGAACAGGGATGATAAGGAGGTGTTAAGATGCGGTTTATTTTTATGCTACATGCAATATTTTTTACAAAGGATGCTCGTAAACTACGGCGAGTTATCTGATGCTAACAATTCAAGATACCCCCATTTAGAAGATAATTTCCCTAATGTATCGAAGGTCTTTCTGAAGGGGTGGTTTTCCTCTATATTAACTCCGCCAATTTTGTAAAAGAGTCGATTAGTATAAACTATATTGTGTTTTTAAATGGCTCTACATCTATAAAAATTTGTGCTTTTATATCTGCAATACAATTCATTTATATTGCATAATATTAAATGTTCGGCCTATGTACAGGATTATCATTTTTTATCATTAATAAAAAAGACTACATTTTTCCTATTATTCTGATATTTTGTTTATAATGTAATATTTTTTAATTTCATTATTTATAAGCCGTCTTGTAGAATTCAGTTTTTAATGCAAATCAATGAAAAATACCGATTGAAAATTTTAAATTTACAAAAACAAGGTTACTTCTACCGTTATTAAAGGAATCGTCAACCATGTTTTCGCTATCGTGAATGAACTCGATGTGATCTCTGGCACTCTCTTGCGGAGGTTCATAAAGGGCGCAGACGATAGCTTGTATAGAAAGTGGCGGCGGTATATTCGAATAAATATTATCGTTAGATTTTCTGATAGACCAAAATCAAAATTGTGTAAAAAATATTTTTAATCTAAATCTTCTAAATTTATTGTTGATTTTAAATAGACATAATTAAAGCTCGGCAACCAAAAAAACCTAGGAATTTCACTTTTGTTTTATATATCAAAAAGTAATCTTTTTGCTTTTAATAAAAATTTCATTTAATTTTTTAATTTATCACATTAATTAAATATAAATTTAAATGCAATTAATAAGACACAGTAGGTCTGCAATGGGAGGGTTTTCGGCACCCATCTAAGTGGACGAGCAGGCTAAAAAAATATTAAAAAAGGGAAGGCGAATAGGTTAAAAAATTTCAAACTATGGGCGGGTAGGTGGGCAAATTAAAAAAATTAAACAACTTAAGGAAATATATTTCTTAAAATTGGAGAAATGATAAAAAATTCCACTTGCTGATGTATTACTGATATGGGATGTGAGGATTTTACTAAAACCGATTATATATCTCTATCAATCCATTTTATACAAAATTTGAAATTAGAAAAAATATTCTTTTTATTTCACAATTATCTATAATATAAATCGAATATTTTATTAAAACTTTTTGAGGTGCAATGCTGAAAGTGATTTATTTTTTTTATTAGATGCTTAAAAAATTGAAAGAATGGTCATAATAAAATTTTATAATAACTGACTTGGGTTAAAACTTTTTATAATAAAACATTGGGTGGGCGGGTGAACTAAAAACCCTCCCAATGCAGACCTCTAAGATACACTACTGTCGATTCGCTTCAAATAATTTTTAATAATGACATTGCGTTGAAATATGTGAAAGCGTTTTAAACGTAGGTTCCTATATTAGTTAACAGAAAATGATATTTAAAAAAAGGAAAGGGATGGCCTGGACTTCTTTTTATCTATGAATGAAAATAAAAAATTATCCCCCACAAACTTAAAACTGCATTTACGCAATGGCATGTATACAGTTTATATCTTATGATTCTTACAAAAAATATTTTTCGATTTTGGACATATTCAAACTATTTGCCTGAGAATTATATGAACACGCAAAAGATTGATAATGTATCCAACAAAAAGTTATACAAACTCACAGAGGAATCTTCCACATAGTCACAAGGTCTACATGATAGAAAATAAGTTAGATGCAAACCCCCCACCAGACTCCTACAACCTCCCAATACGGCCTAGTCCAATCTAGCGATTGGCGCGACTAGGACCTTAATTATTTTTACCCTATGTGGAGGGGCATACAAAAGATGGGGATAAAGGTAAAAAGGAAGAGGGAGGTCGTGAAGATCAAGAAAGAAAAGCGGAGATATATGAAGAATTTATATACTATAATAAAATACTAAAATTTATTTATAATTATAATTAATTTTATATTATAATCTTTAATTTATATTTCAGAAAATGCTTTATAAATCTAATTTATGAGATCATTTATTTAAAATATTAAATGCCACAATAAAATTACACTAATATGGAATTACCTTTCCCCAAATTTACAAAATATTTTGAACTCATTAAAAAATTATAAAGGATTTAATTTTAGATAGCGATAGACAATATCGTTCAATAAATCAAGCAGCTTCAAATTAAAAAAAATGTAAAGATATTATTCATAATTTTAATAAAATTATTATCGACTGTTTTAAATATAGAATGTCCACATCAAATATTTTAGGGATTGAAAGATATCTAGATAATATTGGTTACTAGAAGTATGGTTGCTAAAAGCCAGATTCAAGTACCATCTATGAGCAAAATCTCCAGGCTTACATAATTTTATTTTGGCTAAGATCTTAATCGGGTCGTTTTTAAAAATCGACCCCAATCGGAGTTTTTAACAATCAGAGGCTACATCCAATAAATCAAATTTGTCCTAACTAAATAAATTAATCCTACAACATGAGAACCAGGGGTTCAAAAATTCGCTGAAAAAGTCATAATAATTTCCTAATTAATACAGTACAGCCAATTTCCTTGGAATAATCCCTTATTTATCAATCTGATACATCCATTTGTTACTAAGATATTCTGCTCACAGATGTTATTGACAAGAATTTTAGATAATTTTCAAGAAATGAAAGGGTCTTTAATATTAGATTTATCAGGTGCTTTTTGCATTTGTTGGTGGTAATAAAGTATTTATGTTTCAATATCTTATTAACTCAATTGGAAAGAGCAGCTAAATTGGCTATTGGTAACGTTAATTAATCTAGTACCAACTATACATTGGCTAATAAGACGCATTTTTAAATCTAAAATAATAAAATAAACATTTTAGGTCATTTTTCTTAAATAAAAAGTTTAAAAATAAAAAGATTAAACACACCACTTTGCACTCAAGTGCTACAACAATTATTTAGTAAGGCAAAACTTATACTTTCTGATGCCCACTCTAGCCTTGGATATGATAATATAGCGATGATTTTATTATTAATAATAAGCAATAAAATAAATAATGCATATATTTTATTTTTTCATATTTTTACATGTTGTGAATTTATGATTATATATTATGGCGCACTACTTTTAGTTCCGGTAAATAGGCCAATGGCGTTGAGACTGTGAGCCCTTGAGAGTTTTTTAAAGATCTAAAAGCAAACAAGTCAGGATTTTATATTTAAAGATTATCCTAATAAAACTAAGTGTTATTCAGAAAGTACAACATAAAACTAACTTACAGTGCACTGGAAATACTTTTTGCATGGTTAAAATGTGTTTACGGATACTAAAACCGTTTTTCCAAAGCCGAAATGAACTCACGACGGAGGCAGGGTGTATATTATGGATTGCAAGCAAATATTTTGTCTTTTTTGAATATGGGGCATCAGGGTTATACTAAAACAAAATTATTGGCTCAAGAAAACATTTGGTGGCCGAATATTAACAGAATTGTGAATTATGACAAACAAATAACCTTGGCGGTAAAATGATTATAGGAAAATGGCCCAAATAAACGATGGGGAAGAATTCAGTTAGATTTTGCCGGACCAATTACCTGAGATATATATCTAGTAATAATAGATAGTTTTAGTAAATGGCCTAATACAAAAATTGTCGACAAATAACTTTACTGAAGTAAGAAAAATTTGTTAAGACTTTTTGCTATTTTCGGTAACCCGAATACGATTGTTATGGATAATGAGCCTCCATTTCAAAGTAAATAATTTAGTTAATTTTGCAAACAATTATCAATAGAAATGTATATAGTGCCCCGTACTACTCTAGAACCAATTAAGAAAGAGAGCGGTTAGTACAAACTTTTAAAAATTTTTAACAAAACATAATGATTCTAATAAAATACAAGATTTTTTGTTTCATTTTCGAAATACGCCACAAATAACCATAAAACAATCACCAAGTTCAATTATGCTTAAATTTCAACCCATAGGACCCTTACAATTAATAAAACCAATTTATCCTCATCTATACATATCCCAGTTACCAGGTTTTTTAATATAAATGAGAAAATATATGCAAAAGATTTTAGAAAAGATATTTGGATACCAGGTATCATCGTTAAAAGAACAGTACCAATAACGTTTTTAGCTGAGACTGTGGAGAAGACATATTAATCAGTTAAAACAATAGGTTTGACGATTCTGATTTAAAAAATAGAGAGGAAGGAAGAGAAAGAGAAACGATGCAAAATGCACCACGAATGAATGAAATTGATCCTATACAAAACTCGATAGCCAAAGACATGGATTCTATATAAGACTCGATAACCAAAGACATTGATCCTATACACGACTCGATGACCAAGACATTGATTATACAAGACTCAATAACTAAGGACACCATCATAAATGAAAGATTGAAATCGACAGTACAGATCAACTCAACCCGTGGTAGAGAGCGAAAGTACAAGTAGCCGTTATCCAAAACGGATGAGAAAACAAACACTGTTCCAAATAGAGAGCCCAAAAAGGAGAGTATACATGTAATAGAATAAATTAACCTTAAAGGCAATTGATAATATGATTAATTGTATTCAAATATATTGTTAATTGTGTATGATGATTAGTTTATGTTTTAGATTGATTTGTAAAAGATATATAAACTGAAATACAAAATATAATAAGGCAGTTAAAAATATAATAAATTGTTCAACAGTTAGACATGTGCGCTGCAGGTGATTTTTGACCACGCCTAGGCCGCCGCCAAAAAGTGTCGAAGCTCTACACGCCGCTGCCGATGTAAAAATTCGGCGTGATAGAATTGTAATTAGAAGAAAAATAACTTTAAAATTTTTTGAATAATTAAAAAATACTATTTTATTTTTTAATATTAATATATATTATTTGCTATAAATTTGATTGTAACAATCCATATAATACAAGTTCGCTGACTTCGGGTAGGTCTGACTAACGTGCTAGATAAGATAAGATTAGGATAGTAAAACAGAAAAGATATTGAAATACTATTATATATTTTATTCTTTTAATTTTTGATGTTTCAAATATTTTTTATAAGACCATAAATTATTATATAAGGAGTAATACAATATTTTCTTAATGCAATCTACAACTCATCATATAAAATTTCTTTTTTATCATAAAAGTGAATTTTAACTAACGATTTTTATTTTATTGCCATTATAACATATATAAAAATAGAAGGACTAAAACAATTATAATGGATGCAGCATTGCAATACCCTGTAACAAAATATAGTATACTATGCAAGCAAAACCTTCTTTTGCATGGGAACATTTTGGATCCTTAATATTAAAAACTGAAAGAAATAATAAGAGAACCAGCAGTCTTTTGTAATATATGCTTGCAAATAGCACTTGATAAAGATGGTGAGGATATAATTATTCATTTTTAAAGTAAATTTTTTAATTATTTTATTTTAATTAGTTATCGAATCAAATCTTTTTCAAAAAATATCAGCACATCAAACATAATAAAACATTTACTTGACAAACATGATAGTGATTTATGAAGATCGTTTGGGGTTTGATGCAGATCAAAAATCATATGAGAAAAAACATAAAACCTTAAAATTAAATGTGCCTACAAGTTGGCATAGTATTTAAATAATGCTGGAAAGTGTGACTGGCAATAACAAAAATCCTATAAATAATATATTAAATGTATGGAGAAACCGGAGCTCAAATTATTTAACTCCGATTGGGACTTGGTGCATGAACTTTTAAATTTTCTTAAAACCTTCAAAAAAACTGTTGTATTTTATCCATCCAAAAAGGAGTTACTATATATTTTTCCTTATTATTTCGTAGTGAAATTAAAAATCATTTAATTGTAAAAGAATATGATAGTCCTCCCATAGCATCCTTTAAACAAAATATGCTTACCGAATTTGATCATAGATTTCCAGTAACCGATCTTCAGGTAGTATTTTAAATACAAAAATTAGTTTTTTTTAATATTATTACTCTTTGTTTTATTTTTTTTACTTAGGTGTTAGGAGCATTTTTGGATCCTCGTTTTCAAACTATAAACATAGTAAATGAATATTTAAAGAAAAAAATATTACTCCGATGCAATTTTTATGTCAACACGCTACTTCTCTACGGCCTTACAAGGACGAATTAAACGAATGTGAAACGACGGAAGTTAATTTAAAACTCGATTATCTTAACTCATTGGCTACGAAACATTCATTTATTCATAACAATAATCTGTAACAACAAGACTATTTAACTAGTTTAGAAAATGAGTGTTATTCATTATTTTAGCCTTATAATTTAGAGATAAAAGATGTCTTAGATTTTTGGAAAACTTTCAATATTAGCTAGAAAGGTCCTGTGCGTTCCAGCTACGAGCACACCCAGTGAGCGTGTATTTTCCATATCTGGGCTCACTCTGAACTCTAAATGATCATTATTATGTCCCATAAATCTAAATATAATGATATTTATACATGATAATTATAACTTAATAAAATCATTAAATTATAGTTACAAACATAATAAAGCATAAATTTTATTTCAAAAGTGTTTCCAATAATTTATAATTTTAATGCTGTCAGCGCACATGTCTAATATCAAATATGTCAAAGCCACACACACCCAGAAAAGGAATCGTGGATTTAAACTCAATGCAAAAATGACTTCTTTATGTCCCGCGAATCTTGAAATTCTATTTATACATGACAATTATATAATTTTACTAAATCTTATTTCTAATTTATTATATTTCCTACTATATAATTTGCTTGCATTACAAATTTATATTTTAATTTGTTTTAATAAAATCGAATATTACTAATTATGATTCTGACCCGAGTAAAAATGCAATTCCTTGCTCTTTTTCTAAGAATGAGAAAATACATAAATTTAAATAAATAATTTAAGAAATGAATTAAACTTTAACAATGTGTTAGAACTAAGAGCGCCCAAATAATGTAATACATTGAATTATAAATTAACATATAAAATTGTTTAAATAAATAGCGCGGCGCGCCGCCGAACGCCAATAAAAAAAATAAAAAGACCTCCACCGTCAATTGAGGCTCCGGCACACAGGTCTAAGAAAATGTATCTTGAAAAAATTATTTCTATATATTATTTATTTTTAACTTTATTATTCAAATCTAATTATAAATTTTTATTAATAAAAAAAAAATCTTTCCAGGGGGAGGTGCCAAGTCAGAGGGATATCAAAAAATATATTTTCAAAATGCTTAAAAAATTTGATTTTGATTATTATCTTAAATTTAATTTGGAAGAATAAAGAAAAATCATTTCTTAAAACTTTTCATTAAGACTATAGTCGTGGTTGTCAGCAGAATTACCGTTTGTAGTTGTGTAGTACCCATAACAAATAGCTGATCTCTGTAATCCCGTTCGACGCCAGAAATCCAGAAAACGTTCCACAAGGGAGCTATTCTCAAAGACTATGTTGTCCACATGGCGATAGGGCTGAAAATTTATAATTAATTAATGAATCTATTTTTCTATGTATTAATTATATTTTCATGCATTATGAAAATTAATTCATGTTAATTTTTCTTATTCCCTTTGAGTGATTCCATGTCAAATAATCCGATAAGTGGCTTTAACTGTTAAAGACGTTGACCGTTTAAAAAGACCAGTAACAAAAACGGATACCATTTTAACATCTATGTATTAGTTGAGATTCAAGGTAAATGTATATTACCCGTTAATTATACGAATAAAATTATATATCATGAATTTATAATTGTAAACAATGGTATTAATTTGATAGGTAGAAATTTAATAAACCAATTAAAGTTAATAAAAATAAATAAATGTAATACAGTTAATGAGGTTTGGGAGGATAAAATTGAACATAAATTTTCATCATTATTTACTAAGAAGTTAGGTTTACTAAAAGAGTTTAAAGCAAAGCTATCGGTAAAACCCAACCCCAACTTTCAATGTCTTAAAAGCAGACCGATTCCATTTGCGTGGAAGGAAAAACTAGAAACGGAATTGCAATGAATGGAATCCATGGGAGTTATGGAAAAGCTAAATTACTCGAATATCGCTTCTCCGATTGTGCCGATACTAAAAAAAGATGGATCCTTACAAATCTGTGGTGACATCCAACAAACGGTTAATGCTAATATTTTGATTGATAAGTATCCTTTACCCATTAGCCACACTAGGTAATGGATCCAAATATACAGTATTAGTTATCCGAAGCATATTTTCAAATAGAGCTAGACAAGGTAAAAAGGCTGTTAGTGATCAACACGCCGAGTGGATTATATCGCTTCACACGACTTCCGTTCGGGGTAGCCTCAGCGCCAGCCATTTTCCAAAAAGCAATGGATTCTTTATTAAAAGGACTACCCGGGGTAGCGGTATATTTGGACGATATAATAATTACTGGGGAATCAATTGAGAATCATAAAAAAAATTTGATAAATGTGCTAAATACGTTAGAAACAAATGGTATGAAATTAAATCTAAAAAAATGTATTTTTTTAAAGAAAAGATTGAATTCTTAGGTCATACCATTAGCGAAGAGGGAATCACAACAACAAATAAAAACGTCAATGCAATTTTAGACGCACCGTTACCGAAAAACGTTAAAGAATTAAAAGCTTTTATCGGTATAATTAACTATTATCAAAAATTTATAAAGAACTGTTCAACAATGGCCGCGCCATCGTATCGACTGTTACGAAAAAACGTGCCATGGAAATGGACGAATAATGAAACAATAGTAATTAATAATTTTAAAAAATAATATCAGAAGCACCAATTTTAACTCATTAAAATCCGGGAAAACCGATAATTCTAGCTGCGGATGTGTCGCAACAAGGAATAGGGTCCGTTATATCTCATATAATTAACAACGAGGAAAAACCAATTGGATTGGCATCTCGAGCATTAAATGCAGCCGGACGAAATTATAGTCAGATAGAGCGTGAAGCTTTAGCAATTATATTTGGACTAATTAAATTTAAACAATATTAAATTGGCAAACATTTTATTATTATTACAGATCATAAACCACTGATATCGTTACTCAATCCACATAAAAGAATAACAGATATGTCCTCAAGATTAGTACGGTGGTCATTATTGCTAGCCAATTATGATTATGAATTGCAACTGAAAGGGACAAAAAAAAATAATAATGCGAATATGCTATCCCGGTTCCCAATTGACGGTGAACCATCTACTTGGGAAGAGTTAGATATTAATTTAATAGTATCGGATGCTCCACAATTTATTTCAGCGTTAGATATAAAAGCAAGCACAAGAAATGACACGGTATTATCAAAGGTGTCATGTTACATTGTAACTGGGTGGCCGAAGATAATAGAGAAAAATCTAAAACCGTTTTTCCAGCGCCGAAATGAACTCACGGTGGAAGCAGGATGTATATTATGGGGTTTAAGAACTATAATTCCGAAAAAACTACAAGTAAATATTTTGTCTTTTTTACATATGGGGCATCAGGGGTATACTAAAACAAAATTATTGGCACAAGAGAATGTTTGGTGGCCAAATATTAACGAAGATATCGAATTACACGGTAGGAATTGTGAATTATGTCAGACAAATAATCCTGGAAATAATCATAGGGAAATGGCCCTCCGCAAATAAACCATGGGGAAGAATTCATTTAGATTTTGCCAGACCCATTAACGGAGATATATATCTAGTAATAATAGATAGTTTTAGTAAATGGCCTGAAATACAAAAACTATCGACTAATAATTTTACTGAAGTAAGAAAATTATTGTTAAGAGTTTTTGCTATTTTTGGTTGCCCCAATACGATTGTTAAGGATAATGGGCCCCCCTTTCAAAGTAGAGAATTCAGTTTATTTTGCAAACAATTATCAATTAGAAATGTATATAGTGCGCCCTAGAACCAACGGAGAAGCAGAGCGGCTAGTACAAACTTTTAAAAAAATTTTAAAAAAACATAATAATTATAATAAAATACAAGATTTTTTATTTAATTATCGAAATACGCCACAAATAACCACTAAACAATCACCAAGTTCAATGATGCTCAAATTTCAACCCATAAGACCTTTACAATTAATAAAGCCAATTTATCCACATCCATACATACCTCAGCTACCAGGTTTTTTAATATAAATGAGAAAATATATGCAAAAGATTTTAAGAAAGATATTTGGATACCAGGTATCATCTTAAAAAAACAGGTCCAATGACGTATTTAGCTGAGACTAGATTAGGGTTATGGAGAAGACATATTAATCAGTTAAAACATATGTTAAATGATTCCGATATTAAAAATAGAGGAAGGAAGAAAAGGAGAACCGTTACAAATAACACCTCAAATGAATGAAAGTGATCCTATACAAAACTCTATAGAAAAAGACATTGAGCCGATACAAGACTTGATGACAAAAGATATTGATCCGATACAAGACTCAATAACCAAAGATGCCATCATAAATGATAAGAGTGACATCGACACGACTGATCAAACCTTTTTAGAGAACGAAAGTACAAGTAGCCGTTATCCAATACGAATAAGAAAACAATTTATACCGTTCCAAATCGAGAGCCAAAAAAAAGGGGGAGGATAGATGTAATAATGTAATAGAATACCTTCATAATAAAAAGATATATTTCAATTAAATTAATGTATTTTAAAAAAAATGCATTTTATATAAAAGGACATAAAAAACAAATAAAGACATCATTGAAATAAAATATCATATTATTAAAATAAAATATTATATAATTACGACAGAAATATATAAATAAAATAGATGACGTAGAAGTTTATCTAAGGTTCAAATATTATTATGATATAATTTTTTTTAAATGATGTAAAAAATTTATGCTTAACATATCAATGCTAAAACAAGTTAAAAAAGTTGACCTGGTGAGACCTCAAGCTCCAAAAAACAAAATTAATTTTGACTTTTAAAATAACTATTTAAACAAAGCAACAAATTATATATCAATTTATAGCCCTTAAAATTCTCTTTAAAAGAATATTTTAAAAAATTGAAAATCTTTCTGAATGTTATTCCCAGTAAAATAAAAATTGAAAATTTTTGAAAGGGAATATTTTGAAAGATGAAATTTACCATAAATGTTTATTATCTTAATTTTTTTCATAAAAATTTTCATTTTATAATTAATTTTTTTTTTAAATTTCTTTTCTTTTAATTATATATTTTTATATAGATATAGATAATAGTATGTTAATTATAATTTTAATGTTCTTTTAATAAATATTTTATATATTTTTTTAAATTTTATTTTAATTTAGATTTATATAAAATTATTATACATTCGAAATTTAAAAAATATAAGATCTCTTCTCGTTATTATTTAGAGGATATTGTCTAAAAAAATAAAAATAGTTACATATTAACCTTGTCTTATTATATTCAATTTTATGGATATTGATATAATTTTCGTTAGGTTTGATTTATATCAATTTATTGGTGGAATTTTAATTAATCTTTTTTACTTTAAATATAAAGGAAAAATAATAAACATTTTAGGTAAATTTATTAGTTCAAAATCCTCCAAAAATTCATTCCAATAAAGATTTTCAAATCTTTTTAAAATATTTTCTAAAGGAGAACTTTGAGGGATACAAACAATCTACAAATGTAGCATAAAATCAAAATTTTGTCAACAGTTAATTAATTTATTCCAGTTAAAATAATTTGCGTCATTTAAACAAAGGGTGACATACATAACTAAATTTTAAAAATTATGAATTTTAAATGTATAAATGTATATGGTGATCGTTTTTATTGAAACAGGCGTCACTCTTTAATTTCATGATAATTTAGGTACGGCTAGAGAAAAATATCTGTTTTTACGTTTAAGATTGTTATGTAAAGGATTGTAGTATAATAACTTTATTGTCATAAAAGTTCATTAAAAATTTAGATCTTTATGTGTTTTTTTAATTTTCTAAAATTATGTGTCAGGTGAATTTTAAGGTGGCGTATTTTCCTCTAAATAATAAGATTTAGATACAAGTAATTTAAACCCTCTTTGAGTGGAAAATATTTGTAGAGGGGGTTATATATATAAATTCTTTTCGAATGATCAGCATTTCGTGGCAAAATGATTTTAAAATTATTATAAGAAAACGGACAAACTATAGTTTAAGCTCCATTCATTTTAATTTTTGGTAACCATTATTTGTTTATTTTTATAAAAAAAAATTACATCGATAAATAGTAAATCAATGTATAAAATCTAAACACATCATACAACTAGGAATATGAAAAATAATTAAACAATATATTTTAATGAGGAAGACCGATTCAAAAGTCTAAATATTTTTAATCAAGTGATATAAAAATTTTAACTTTAATAGTAGTTCTTAATTAGTCAAATTAGTGGATCATTCCAAGGGTTCTGTGGACCTTTCAAATTGAATGATCTTGCATGATTATATATGTTGTGAGGGTCTATGAAATTTAAATT